TGAGTACCTTAACTCTAGTGACGCCTATAAACTGACGTACGCTCTCTACAATCATCCCATCGCTGTCACGCTCCTCTGCCTCAACTATTTTGATCCTTCATGGCCTTTCTTCGATTATGGTAATATTTCACGTATCATTAAGAATCACATCAAAAAGTACAAACCTAAATCTATAATATTTGGCGATCGCGATTCTTTATTTAGTAATAGTTCGGTTAAGGATGCGTTGTTGGCGTTGCGAGAATCTGGTTGCAGCCGGGAAGACGCGTGCGCGTTGCGAGATGTGAAAACGATCGACCTACGGGCGATCAAAACTAATCATAAGTTAATTGATTTTTTATCGAGTAGTTTTAAGATTAAGACGTGTTTGCTGGGCAATTGTACGGCCCCTATTGATACACACGTCGCCAAAATTGTTGTACATCGGCTCGAGATTAGCGAAAATTATCAGCTTACCGGTGCTTTTCTCTCCGAATCTACCGCCGAGTGTGTCAAGTTGTCCTTTTGCTGGCAGCTTAGCTTCGCAGCTTTGGCCCGCGCCATTGTCTCAAATACGCGTGTAAGAATTTTACAGCTGCACAATGTGATGGCGTTCGACGCCGATCAGCAACTCGGTGGTTTGCTGGATGCTCTGTTTTCGAACAGTAATGCACTTACCGCGATTATTTTTTCTTCGGTAAAGCCAAGACTAATTCTCGAGCCCGGTGTCGATCTTGCGTTGTCATTGAACATTTGCCCTAATATTAGATTTTTGGATTTTTCAAATTCACTTTTTGTCGAACCACGCCTACAGGAGATTCTCCTTTGTGTGCCGAACGTTATAGATTTGAAGTTGATTAATATTAAATTTAACGACGCTGTCGATTTTTCACACCTGTCTAAATTAAAGAGTTTGACCGTAAGCTGGAATGAGGATACACCTAACTTGGCCAAGCGTTTGCTGTTGCCGCAACTTCGCTTTTTGGTCGTGTTCAATGACAACGTCAAGAATAGTCTCGCCCTGGACCTACAAGGTCTTTTGCCGATTATTGAGAGCGGCGCGCGTCTTGTATTAAGAAATTATGTACTTCAGCGGAAGTGCCCGCCTTGGCTGTACGCGGCTCGTAGAGCCAAACAAATCGAAACTGATGTACGCGGAAATGATGTTTATTTTTTCAAGAAGATGGCTTAAGATAATACTTAAATTAACCACTGTTACAATGATCAGTGCCTGGAGCACATACGTTTGCGTTTTAATCAACGAAAATTTAATAATGTTATTTATGTAGTTTAACTACCATTTCCTTCAGTTACCTCGCATTTAAGCGAATTCATATTTTTTATTTCTAATAAATAATTATTATACTTATTTTTTGTTAAGCTATAAAGAATTTCTGTTAAACCAAAGGTGTATCAGCGTACAATTACAAGTTATGTTAAATATTATTGATCGGCATAGCTGCCATGGCGCCGTTAGTTAATTTAAATAATTGTTTTAACTGTAATTACAGTCTAACGTACTAAGCATTGTACCAAAGTAGCCAAAAATAATAGCTTTAATAGCGCTCCTTGTTTTTTGTAATAAATTTATACATTTTTGTATTCAACATGTTGTATTTATAACTCAATATTTATTCGAAAATGCCATTTGTATTTTTTTAAAATTATTGTACAGGAGAATTAAAAATGGTCTTTTTGGGAGGGGAGTATTGTGGCGTCGTGTCATAATGCTTCGCCTCTGCGCCGGTAGGCGCGCGCGGCGCGAACCCCCTCTCGCTGCCGGGCCGCTGCGTCGGGCCGCGCAGCGAGAGGCCAGACAGTATCCGACCGTTGAAGCGAGCGCACGGCCTAGTCTCTCTCTGCCCGTTCGCTCCAATTGTATCATCGTCAGCCGAACAATAAATCGAGTCACTCAGTACTTTGTTGTTCGTTCGGGTTTTTCTTTCTTTCTCCTGCCCAATATTTCTCTCGCTCGTTCGCTCTCTGCCACGCGGACGACCGGAACACGCAACGTTGCGACGAGAGTGTGGACTCGTCGCCCCCCAGGAACTGCTGGAGTCAGCCGGGGTATTTCATCGAGTACTCTTCCACACTAATGACTACAGGGGCTCGTTATTTCTGGCAAAGTAGCCGAATCCCGAAGTATAAAACAATGAGAAAGGATGTGTCTTACAGGATGACGCTGCATCTACTTGTCTAACTTTTCCCTTTCGGTGCATAACTGCAGCATTATCAAGGCCTTTTAATGACTTAGAATCACGTGTAATTGAAAAATCATATAAGGCTCTATTTTCATTTGATTTTTTAATTAGACATTTTAAAGTTTTCAAATAGTAATGTGTTTGAAATAAAAAAATAATCTAATTGAACGTAGATTTAATAAATACTAAAAATTATTTTAGCTACTTTACGTCAACACCTATGATAATTCATAAACTGGGAAAAATTGATTTAGAATTTTTGTTAAAAAATTTCATTCATCCCTACTACAAAATTACTTAAGGATTTTTTTTATCAATCAATAAACCAACATGTAACGCAAAAGCTCTTAATATCGAGTCAAGAGAATGTCTCCCGTGTCTCGTAGAAAGCAATGGGTAACGATTGTACCGCTCACAGACTTCGACCGCGGGGAGAACGAAATGCGCATTTTCAATTTGCGTGACGCAAGATCACTTGACTATTATGGAAGAGTATTCGCATGTGTCCCGCACTTGAGGTACATGTAATATGTATTTTATATATAAATGTTATAACGTAGATCTAATATCAATTGACTCGTGGTCAAACGCAGTAGGTAGGCCGAGGTCAGTAGGTAAGAGATACAGGTATGCTCCCTGTCCCTCAATCACGCGATGTATTGAATATATTCAATACTTTGATTAATTTTCACTCTTTCGTACATGTCTTTAGAAGAGCAACTAGTTATTGAAGAGATCTGATTTCAGATGCATAATGCATATACGTTATACGTTAGATATAAAAAATTAATTATTCAATGATAACTAATCAAACATTTCTATTTTCTTATGTTTTACAGCAATTTCTTTTCTTTGCTATTTTACCCAGTATATTTTGTGAAGTCTAATTCCTCATACCGATCTAATATTATGATACCGTATTCAACAATTTACACTACATACAACAGCAAGTAATTGAGACTTTTATAAAAAAATTCAACAAGAGCTCAGATTTTGAGTAAATTATTATGTTATTGGCAACAAGAATAGTATAAGAAAAGAAAATTACACTCCTGGCCGATACAATCTGTATGGAATTAAATGCGGCGCTGTACTTGCGTACACCACACCTTAAGCGTTAAATTAGCCATATGGCAATTTGTGTTTTGACCGTACTAAACTTCAAATAAACAAGAATACATTTAAAATATTTCAAACCCTTCACGCTTACGATTTTTATAAACGTGTAAAACAATGTTCAGGGTGAAAAAATGGAAATTCTTCATTAATATTGTAAGATTAATTGTGAAAATTTTCCTAAATACATAAATAGCTTTTTTCATCATCGAGTGCAGGAAGTCGATTTTAAGATTTTCCCGCACGCCGCGCCGTGCGGGAAATAGCACTTCCCGCACTCAGTGATGAAAATAAGTTTTACCTTTCGTCGCTTTGATGGCTATAATAGGACTATAACGTGTTTAATTTAAGATTCTTTTTCATTTTTGTAAACGGTAATGATTGGTTTGAAAGAATTTTTTGTTATTTAGTGGTTAGCACATAGAAGTATTGTTCAATTTGTGCTTTATTTGTAAAAATAATCAGCAAAAGATACTGTGTTTAACAAATCTTAAGTTATGTTCATAAAAAAGTAAGCAATCAATCGTTCTACATGTACCATTACTGAAAGTCATTTGTACAAAAAGTGCACATTATCTAGATTGTGCTGTAATGCTAACAAAAAGTGTAAAAATTCTTTTAAAACCCGTTTATAAAACAATCCATGTTCTCGATATTCACGTTATCTCCTGTCATTAGAAAGAAGGCCACTTATATATCGTTTCAGGTAATGAATAAAATATTATTTTACAATCAACATAGTCTATGCGTTAGAAAAACTAAGTAAGTACATAATAAAGAGACTGGAATGCACCAATTACAACATTTTATGGCATAAAAATCGATTGATAACCGGAAGTTGAACGAGTTCAATTGCTAACTACCTCAATTCGTTCGCTTTGATAAATGATATTATAACTGTCATGCTAAGTCATGACATTGGCGAAGGTATGCTTATACTATACTTTTAATCACTGTATCAAATATACAAATATCATTATAAGTATATCTAAAGTATAGTTTTGCTCGTATGAGTTTGAAAATGAAAACTACTTGACGTCAATAATCAAGGCCAGTTATGCAGTGTCGCAGATTTAGCTCTGGTTTCTGTATGAATTTACGTTTCAAATCTGAGGAAGTGCCGACAGTTCTATGAGTTTCGAGCGCACAATTTTGTATGCATAATGCAACATTATTATCTCTAGACGTTATAAGATAATGGATAAAGTCGACTTAAAATCTTAACTCCTCTTGATCGCTTGCATGGTAAAATAATTTACACGCGCTAGAAAAACTATATTCTCATACGGAGATATATAGAATATTCGTAATGTTATACATGACTTAAAGCGCCGGACGCTATAAAGTTTTATCACTGCATGAATGCGAATGAAAGCACGAGCGAATTATTGTTACGCTTATACGCGAGCTGATGTTAAAAATTTGCTTTTTATTACTTGGTTAAAGACGTCATCGCAACAATTCTTACGATACTTAAATTTTGAACATTAAATTTTCAAATGATAATTAATAATGGGAGTCTTTTGATAAACTTGTAATGTATAATTTATTATGAAATGACGATTATTCAAAAAAAGGATCAGATCATTTATGCAAAAAAGAATCTACTTATAAATATAATAAAATTTTTCATGTGTTTAAATCAGACAAATAACTTACTTTTATTTTCAAATTACAAAACTTTTATTCGTGTAAACTGTAAATTACAATATATTTTTATAACTATAGTTGTTTAAACTTTACTGTTTAAATTCTTCATTAGGTGTGGGTTTATTTATAGTACCCCAGAACCATATGGCTTTAGTTTGTTCATTTCTGATAAGGAACAAAAATGGTTTATTGAAATAAACATAGCGAGAGTCGTCACCGAATCGGTTTCCGAGGTCCATGCCGGATGCAGCTGCAGCTTCTGTACCTTTTTCGTTAACTTTCATTGTGACTTTGTGAACTACATTGCCAACATTCAGATCTGGCCGACTAAGATCTCCTGAATTTTTCAGCTCATCGGTACCGAAAGTCGAACGGTAAGCCTGGCTGCGACCTCTACGGACCCTTTGGGTCGATTCTCCTTTTCCTGGAGACAGTACGCTGAAATCAGCTTCGGGACCGAACATAGAAGTAACTCCCATAGTTTTGAGAGCTTCGTTCAAATTTAAGTTGCCAGTCAAATCCATTTTAGGGAAAGCAATGGATAAAAGCTCGCTGTTTGCCTTGCTAATAAGCTCATCGACAATTTCTGGAGTTAAGCGAGCTTTTAAATCTTTGACAGCTTGTGTACCTTCCCCGATAGGTAAAAATGCCCACATTACAGTCTGAAAAAGAGGACAATTTAATTCAGCTATATCTATCAGTAAGCAAATAATATAAGATATAAAAAAGAAATTAATATACATCTTGTCCTTCGTAAGGAATGCCAACGAGTCTCACGCCTAATTTTGTATCTTCATAGAATGAATAGTTGTTATTGTTGAACATTGATTCAACGACAACTTTATTGTCAGGATTCACAGTAAATATGCTCCTAAAAAAATATTTAAAACTCATTAGTACCTTACTTCGTTATAATAAACTTCTAAATACTTTAAGTTTACGAACTTTTCAGTATTTTCCGGATTAAATTCCATCGCCCATTGGCCATTGAAATACAATGCAGATGCCAAAACAACACGAGTGTCAGAATCTGGAGCCTGGTCGAATAATGTTTTGATATTCCCCTTTGTTTTTTCACTAACCCAGTTGTTGATGGTTTCAAAAGCTTTTTGACCATCACTATACTCTACGTTTATAATATCACTTTTGTATAATACTTCAATGAGAGCTCTGAACTCTTGACGTATTGGATAGCCCTCCTATGTTAAAAAGTTAATCACAGAAAAAATATAAATCAGATTTGAAAAAGAAAAGATTATTAACCATATATTAAAATATTGAATTGCTACGTACTTGCACAAACATACTTGTTGCCAACTCAGTTTTGGGTCCATTTTCTTGCTTCTGAGCATCTAACATTTTAGAAAATAATTGAGAATATATGAAATGAATGGCTTCTGACTTCTCACGAATAGGTTTTGAAGGTTCGAAACCCATAACTTTCACAATCTCATCAAATGTTTGACCATTCGACCCAGCTAAAGCCATAGCCAATAGATATGTTAAGCTTACTGGCGAAAATAGAATATTATCTTCATCGTTTTCAGAGTTTTTTTGTAGAACTTCATCTAAATTGAAACTGAATTTAGTGATTTTTTCAGCCGCCGCCAATACGTACTGCAAAAGATGACATCGTAGTAAATTGAGATTTAAGATTTTTGAGGTTTAATTCCTATAATAATTGATGAGGACTATTTTACCGGTGAAAGATTATTTTCCAATGCTATTCTATTCTTGAAAGCAGGAGGCGCAGCGGGCTGATCGTCGTCTCGAAACAAAATTCGATCGTCAGCCCAGCATACTCCAATGAAAAGTATGGAGATATATAAAAACTTCATATTTTGTTCGAAATTAATATTGCTACTAAAATTTAGCACTGGTCACTTCTACTTCACAAGAACTGAACCACTGACTATTGTTAAGTGTCGTCCGACGTTGGTATATATAGACACTTTCAAATGTGTTTTTCGTGTCACAATTAAGCTCACGAGTCATTTTGTATTTTTATTTTTCTCTGTTAAAATGATATCGTTCGCAGAAATTTTTATCTGCAATTATATGTTTGCTTAAAAATTGAAAAAAATGGATTATCTATCGTGCGAGTCGATTACTTCATTATAAACCCACGTGCAGAATCGAATAGATTAAAAACGTACATTTTACGATAATTAATTCTCTCAACTTTCGTCCAAGTATATTACAATTTATCTTTGGATCGCGTACATATAAATACTCGAATTAAAGTGTTTTCTCAAACATATCTGATTGATCTTGGGTTCGTTTCTTTACACTGATATGATGATTCATTGCACACAAAATTAATCATCGTTCAGTTAAAATTAACGTTTTTGTAGCACTCAGAATAAAAAATTAAAATGATAGCATGATTTTGCTGAATTTTCTTTGTAATATTAAAACAACTTTTGGTTCATTGTCTATTACAATACTATAAATTATTTAAATTGAATTGAACCAAAAGTTGTTTTAATATTGCAAAGAAAAATTCAGCAAAATCCAATAGACAAATGTACTTTCATTATCTTTCAGGGAAAAGGTTCACGAAAAGTAGTACCAACTTAACTGCATGTAAGGTATCGGAGTAATTTAATTTCCATTCATATAATAGAAGCACGCCCAACTAAAAATTAATTTTCAAAATTTTTAATTTAGATTTATTAGTAGAAAAATTGTTGTTAATTAAAATTTAATCGATTTTTCTTAATTTCATTTATTTTAGATGAGTAGAATCAAAGTTTAACCATAAATTACAATGAAAATGATGTGTTTTGAAGATTTTTTGCTACATCAATAAAAAATATCTTTAATAAGTTTTGTAAATGTTGTATTTTCTTCACGGGAAGAAGAACGAATCTGGTCCCTTCAGGTAAGTACATTTTGTAAACATCCAAGCTAGTTCACAAGGATCGTCCGATGAAACTAAGGTGAAATCATGAAATCATTCGCTAAGTATAATAATTTAATTTTAATTGTCAAACAATATTACATTTATTTACGTACCTTCGTCGTAGCAGGTTTTTGCTCCTTCGATTAATTTTTTACCAATCGTTGATGGAGTCATTATGCTAATTTGTTTCACCAAAACATCGATATCTATTGTACCTTGCTTAGTGAACTAAAAACAAATTTCGAATTTATTTATTCAGGCAAAAATTGAGTAATTATGTACTTACAGTTTTCATAAGGCCCATAACGCATTTTATGTAACATCGCGCTCCAGGGGAATCTACAAAATTTCCACCTCGAATTCCTTCAATATCAGCTGAACATAAAAAATACATGGTGGATATTTTTATCAAGATTCACAAACAAAGCAGATCATTTCTCAATACCAGTTGTGATGCCCAATTTATTAACACATGTTCTGCGTAAGCCATTTGACATACTTTCCATTTGTTCTTGAGTTGCTGCCTGCATTAATTTATTTGTTCTGATAATTTTTCTTTTACTTATGCAAATTTTATGATACTTACGGAAAATACTTCACCCGTGCAGACAATACAAAAAATACAAAAACCAATAAAAAATGTGTTCTTCATCTCGATCTTAAATGCACCAAACACTATGTACGAAACTCCAAAATCATAACTGCCAATTCTTCTGTTTGACGGAGACTTAAATACATCAAGTCAGTCAATTTATTTTAAAGTCTAAGTAGTCAGTTGGTGAATTGATAACATACAATTAGATTCTTGCACATCCTAGGTGTATTCCTGTATGATCAAAAACATCTCTTGTTGTTCTTGTCTTGCGGAAGCTCAAAGTATGATATTAAGCTCCTCGTCACGAGGAAAATACGTTAGACAATGCTTTGTCATAGTTCATCATGATTCTTTTGACAACTCATAGTACAGTAGCAATCACCTTGTTAATCAAGAGAAAATTTACGAAAATCACAACTCAATTTTGTTCAATTTCCAGTGTATACTGGATTATTTAAAATGAATAATATTTTTATAAATGTCGCATGATTATTTATTTTCAAGAGCACGTGCATTTATTTTAAGCTATCGAACGTGTTTTCAATTAAAAATCACACGAATTAATCCATGAATAATTATTGCTCTTTGCACATGCGATACACGTAATTTTGCAGTGAAAGCCAAAAAATTAATCCTCAAGATAGTAAAAAATATTTGAAATGATTGAAATCAGAGAAATGAAATTCAGGCAAGTAGTTTCCAGTAGACAGAATTGAAAAACCAATGAAGAAAAGAAATACTTTGTATGAAACCAGAAAGATTTTTCAATTGTATATTATTTGTAACGTCGAAAGAATAAAGCTGCACTGCAACGAGCTAATGTTGATACTTTCCTCGTTGCATTTATAGATGCGAAAAAACAGTATATCTGCGTGAGTTATATCACAAACATTTTGCCTCTCACGTATAATACGTTCGAATATCATCGCTTTCACTCGATCTTTTATATTTATTGCTGCTCTCATTTTTCTCTCACTACTCATCTCGTTCACAATCTCATTTTTCTAAACATCATAAAGGCCATGTCCACGCGGTAGCTTAACCGTATACTTTCATATCCGTCTCGACTTCTATAATTGTTGCAATAAATTTTTATTCTTTTCATACACATGTTTATATGCATGAAACAGTAACTAACAGAGACTAACGACCGACCTCTCGATTACCGGTTAAGTCATTGCTATTACATAAGGCAGATTCTTTCGTTATGCGACCTTACGTCTCTTCATACTTATACTCTCGATATTTTTTTGTACGCAATTTTTCAGATTTTTCCACTTTTTGGCTTTTGCTAAAAATAAACGTAAGAGAAACATTTTCGAAGTAAGATGCTTTCAGAAGTAGAAAACGCGAAATTAAAGAATTCAATTCAATGACAATTGAAAACGATTTTTTGTTTAAAAATTGATTTTATTAAAACCACAGGAACGAATCGATGAAAGGTCGATCATCGTGTTTAAGAGTTTAAAAGGCAGCAATAATGCTAATTTTTGATCATTGAGCAAGGATGTCTGTTTTTGAAAGATAAAAAACGAGAAATTTATATCGATGAATTCTCAAGCACCATTCTTTTTTTTAATATTCGAAAATTCTCATATTTTTTAAGTATAAACGCATATATTTAGCAAATAAGAATTTATATATAATCCAATACCGAACAAAAATCCAGAAAAATCGTGATAGATCCGTACTTACAAGTTGACCTTCATTGATTTTTTGGTTGAACTTCAACGAAATCTTGTCTTGTACGTTACATTCGATGAAGAAATATATCTTACCTTTTGTAGTTGAATTTTCATCCGCCAAAAATGAAGATTCTTTTTTCAAAGAGAGAAAGAGAGATAAAGAGAAAGACAGATAGACCTAGCAAGGTCGCATGTAAATACACGTGTAAAAAGTCTACCTATCCAGCATCAATCGAAAACAAGGTTTCAATGAAATAACTTTTACATCATGAAATTGAATGACTGCCCGACAATTCGTAAATAAACAAATTATTACAGCTTTAAATAAATTAAGATTCTGATTTTCATGGCTCAACTTTATGAAATATATTATTCTTAATCGCGACTCAGTGGCTAAAATGAAGATTAATCGTATTGGCAATTAGCACTTGATTATTTTAGCGATTATTTTTTTGGCAAAACAAAAAACCATAGCTCGCTCGAACGCTTACTCAATTTAGCATGTGATGTACAGTTGGCAACTGCAGGAGAGCACTACCACCAGCGAGCAATCAATTAAGTGGCGTATGACAAATGCGTAAGCGCGAATTCGCAGCGTGCATGACATATTGATACTATTTCATTGTATATACACCATATAGTTATAAGTGCGCGCGTATATACATCATAATATAGTCATATCACGATGTTGAAATCGATTAATTTACAAATAAAAATCGAACTGGGTTTGATAAATTTTATGTAACCCGCGTGTGCGTGTGCAGCGGTGCACTGCACGTCGCGCATAGCTGAGACAGCAGCGGGGCGTTACATAATATTTTGTGCGTTTGACTTTCTCAGCTGAATAATCATGCAGCGGTAATCAAACAATTTATCCCAGACGTCTTTATATTGTATCGAGATCATACGTTACAATAATTAACTTACGTGCATAGAAGAGAGAGACCCGAGAAGTGGCGACGAGATCGCGGCGCGGACCAGCCGGGAAAAATGATCGGTTATAAATGAAACTATCCGCACACGCGTCTGATTAACAAACGAGAATTAAGTTTCCTGGGTCAAGTCGCGCGCGCGAAAGCAGCGGCCGCAAGACTTTTTCAAAGGCCATTTAATGCTTAATAACCGTTATAAAAGCCAATATGGATTTGCAAGCGCGAGACCGTACGAGCGAGTATTTGTGCATTGAATGTGCGTGTAAGTTGCGGTCGACCATAGGCCGATAGATAGCCACGCTATAATATATAGAATAACAAACGATTTTCCATTACTTATTAAAACGGTGCTGCTGCTGCGCGTTCAATCCGTAATGGCATATGGGCAATGCCATTATGAGCCATATAATATGTCGATCGATGTGTGGGTTTTAACGTTATAACAACCGAATGAGCAAATCGAAAGTCGCTGTATATGTAAATGCACAACAAACCTATGGCTAAAAATTTATTGATGTCGCTTTGTCTGCGCGCGCGAGCGCGGCAGATCTTTTAATGAAATTTAAAAGTATCTACGATGCTATGTTATTGTGTTTCATGCTTCGCATTCATCATAGAGCCTGAGAAAAAATTTACATCCATAATGACACGCCGCACACAACGCGCGCGTATATGATATATTTGTTCACTCGAACGGCCGCAAGTAAAATATTTACTTATAAATATGCAAAATTATAGCGTAAAATATATTGCACCGGAATTTAATTCCCGTATTTTTATTACAGCTCCGCTACTTCGTTTGAGCCTTTTTATACGTAATAAATATAAATAAATATAGCAGGTGAAATTGTTAATATCCAACTGGAATAATAGTGATCGGATTTCTCCTCGATGACTCGAATAAAAAATTTTGATTTTCTGCCTCGCGACCTTGCATATTTCACGACATTTTTTCCTTGCATATTGAAAGAACGTCATCGATGATCGGCGACTTTGAGCGAAGGTAAATATTATTAAAAAGGCTGTATAATCATTCGGCTTATCAATTCTTTTTATATATCTCCATCTCATCGTGCGAATAAATCGAGTTGAAAATGTATGACGCGGGCATGATGTACACAAGTATATTCATATATCGAGTCAAGTACGCAGGATATATGTATACCGGCGCGGCACGAGCTTTCAACGGGCTATATCTCAACGTAAACATATCAATGGCTCGCTCACTTTCATAGGTCATTCGTCTCAAATGTTGGCTAAGAGAGAGAGAGAGAGAGAGACATCGGCAATAACACGCACGTGTACAGCAGGTAGTGTACGCGATCGGGCCCGAGTCATACACACAGCCGAGAGAGCAATGAGTGCATGACGCTGTGTACGCGCCACACGCATATAAGTAGCACTCGTGTGTGTCGCTGTCGCTCTGACGCGCGTTCCGCGATGTTCACCTTCGCGATCTCGCTGTGCGCGGCTTCACCTTGACCGAGGTTTAACTTTTATGGCTGTACATAAACTTTCTTATGGATGACACTTTTTTTTATGCCCATGTTCTAAGCAGTACATCGAGTGTCGTGAGCAATAAAAAAATGATTGATTACGATGAATATGCGATTAGTGTATTGTATTTAACGTTCGCGTGTACGCGATGTGCGATTTATGCCCCGTGAAGCCGTATCGCACTTCAACGCTTTGATCCCACTTACAAAAGTAAAAAACAACACGTAAATTTACTTGAGATAAAAAAGATAGAGTCAGTAAAAGTGTTGTATATGATTAGCGATAGACACGTGCGTGTATTTACTTAATCAAATAAATCGTTAATCTTTACCATGAAGTAGCCCGTAATGTGCCATTTAGGCATTGTTCAAATTCATTCAAATGTTAAATATGTCACACGAGTCTCTCCTCTGTTAACTTGCAATAACACGTTTAATTTCACCAGCTCGCAGGAACCAAAGGCTGCAGACTGCATTGAAAACTATCCATCGCCTTATCCGTTATAAGCGTGTTACGTTGTTGTAAAAAATTCTAATTCTAGTGTTACCGCGTGGATATTTCACCAATCGTCTGCTAAATGGTAGAAAAATATACGTCTTGCACCCATCGTTTCAAGTTTTGCTTAACTTCACGAATTGCTCGGATGACTTTCGAGCTTATACATATATACCGATCTTTAGCGCAGAAAACATCCATACAAGCTTACACTCGCCGCTTATATGTAGATGGAAAGTTAGATTTATCAATCTCAAGGCACGAACAAATCCATCGAGCCTTAGAGCAACGAACAAATCACCACTCATAAAAGCAACTTAATAAAAATGCATCCGCGCGATTATGTATACATAAATTAAACGTGTCGATTTAAAGTATTCTTGTAACACACGCGTTATGTACCGTAAGACAAACCGCTGCTGCAGCTCGAGCTGCGGCCTATGGTCAAGCCACACGACTATATACGTATATAATATAATATTCCCTTTTCATTCTCACCAGCTC